CCTGGGCGATTGGAGGACTGGTCTCCAGCCGTCCGACTGCGCGGCACGCCTGTTCGACGCCGTCGCTGGTGCTCGGCGGGCTCGCTGCGGCCCGCTGCCTCGCCGGCAGCTAAAACAGGGCCTTGCTCGAGCTAAGGGTTTAAGGTGTAGGATTTAGGGTTTAGGGTTGTCACAGCCCGGCCATTGTGGCCGCTTTCCTCCGCCTCTACCTTGACGGTGCGTTGCTGGACGAGGCGATCAGGGATCGGTTTTGATAAATCAGTGCTGCAGATGTTCCGGCTGCGGAAGAGGCCAACCCTGGAACAACGGCGGCTTCTTGCTGACGAATGGTCCGACTTTGGTAACTGGCAAGAGGGCACAACTGCAGGTTGGACATGCTCGAGCGCTTCCAGGATGAGTTATCGCTCCAAGGCATGGATTCGAGCAGCACTGGAAGCAGAGCAGGAGGGTGAAAGCGCTGGGGGTGGAGTTGCGGATGACCAAAGAATGGCAACAATGCCGGGACCCACGACACGGTTCTTGATGCTGGAGCTGGGCATGACGCCAATGGTGAAGGGAGGTGATGATGGTGCGGCTGGTGCTTTGCGTCTTGCGACTGGCGATGGTCGAGATTGACATGCCCCTAGGAGAGGTTGTCCACCGCAAGAACACGTGACCTGGCTGTAGGGTAGGGCACTGAACTGGCAAGGGTTCCTGTACGCTGCACCCTGGGTGGCTGCTCCCTACTGAACAGTGGGTTGGACCAGCTTGCATTTTCTTGAATACATGTCCTGGATTGTTGGCCTCACTCCGTTGGGATGGCTTGAGTTTGTTTGTTCTCCCAAGAGCCTGTTTTGGACAACCTAGTGCGCCTGCCTACGTAGGCCTTTCATGTGGAAACGGGTGAAAAGAGGTGCTACAAAAAACCTAAACCCCAAATCGGAAGCCTTAAGCCCTAAATCCTAAATTCTAAACCCTAAACTTTAGCTCCTTATCCTTCAGCTATCCGGAAAGCCAGGTGCTGGGAATCTTGGGGTTTCTTCCAATGCCCTTTACATACAAGCCGCGGCTGTTGTCGTTTGAGGCGGCTGGAAGTGCAGGGTTCAGGGTCTAGGGTTAGGGGTTAGGGTTTAGGGTTTAGGGACTTTGAGCTTAGCATTTTTCTACTTTTGCTATTCAGGTCAGGCTTCCTGACTTATATACAAGGAAGCGGAAACCCTTCTTATATGTAGTTCCTTTCGAAGTTTCTTTTGCTGGCTTTGGTATGGGCCTGTTTCAAAAATGGCTTCAGGTGTAACGTAGGGGATCCGAATCCTTTCCGCGTGAGACCTAATGTGTTGTTTCGGGCTTAGGGTGTTGGGCATCTGCAGACTTGTGGTGTAGTTCAGCTGAGGTTATATGCGGATTTCAATGTCACGCACGTCTTTTCCTTCAACATGCAAGACCAAACGTAGACACATGGAACATGAACAAGTGGAACATTTACAATTCCAGTAAGTGCGGCGTTGACTAGTCCCTTTCCCAATAAACTTAAACTCCTCCCGTATCCCCTAAATTAAAGTTGGATTTGGTAGCCAGTACATACCGGCTACCATCAGGAATGTTGAATACTTCGGGGCTGCTAGGTACTTGCGTGTTTTCTATACGAATAGTAACTATAAGGGAATATGGTTTAGAATCTGGTCATAATTTGCGTTTTTCCTCACCTGGTTTGGGGGTTGGGGTTATTTGAAATCCAGGCAGCGCGACGTTGTATGGTAGAGGAGAATTGCAGCAGGAGCCCCATTACTTAGCAAAATTGTCCCCGTAGGTTTTGAAGATTTTTCCTGCCTAGTTAGAGAACGTAAAAGGATTTTTCTAATTCTTCAGGTAACTGGTACTATGTTAATTCTTTTTCAAAATTCTGGGCCCCTTTTGGTTATAGGTTATATTACGGCACCTAATACTGAGGGGTACCAAAATGGGACCTTATTTTTAGGAACTACCCATGTGACGTGGGTTTGGGCATCCACGCAGCCTTCAAATAGGATTTTTTGGAGAGCCCAAAACCCTAGACCCTAGAACCCTAAACCCGAAACTGAGGCTGAGGCCTGACATGCTAAGGCCACGCAAATACATATGATTTATAGTGTAAACTCCTTCAAAGGGGGGATTATCTGGGGGATCATATAGGGGAGCATTTTAGGGTTTCTTGAAGGGGATACTAGGAGTTTAGACTATGGCTCATGTGCACATGTTTTTAGTTGATAGTGCGCACCTATATGTATACATACAGAAAACAAGCACGCATTACTCCTCTTCCAGCGCGCTAACCTGCCATTTGCTTAGCACAATAAAGCCCAATATGAACCAAAAGGTTAAGCCTGAAAAAAAGCCTTAGATGTTGGACGGCTACGAACCTTAAACCCTAAACCCCCAAGCCCTAGATACTTGATGGATTTGATGACTGAATTTTTAGTGAGTTATCTTGAGCTCGCCTGCGGCGCATGCAGGTGGAGTGCCCCTTTTTCCCGTGGATTTATCTGCTTGGGACCGTCGCTGCGGTTCTTGGACTGCTTCTTGGTTCTCTAAGCCCAACGAAGATATTAACAATAATAGCAACAATAGCAGTACCAATAATGGCCATTAAAGTAATAATCGTAAAATAATCAAAGTAGTACTAGCACTAGTAATAGAAATGATAGTAATAATCGTAAACATGGTACTAGTAATGGTAATAGTAATAGTAATAGTAATAGTAATAGTAATAGTAATAGTAATAGTAATAGTAATAGTAATAGTAATAGTAATAGTCTAGTAATAGTAATAGTAACAGTAATAGTTGCAGAGCAATAGCTTAGCCCAAAGGTAGAGTTTTTTGGATTTAAGCTAACAGGTCCAGGTTGGGAGTGGAGGCGTTGGAGATCCTTCTCCATGCGTTGTGGTTTTTTCTGCCTGAAAAAAAAAGAGCGAAGCTCAGTCGTACAGCATCAAGTGTCAGGGCCTGTGCAGCCGCCGTTGTCAGCTGTTCCTGAAGTACATAGACATCAAACGTAGATAAGAGAGTTTCCCCCGCGCGTCACGAAAGAGACATACTCTTGTGGATCAGGTAGGAACAAAACTTGACTAGATTCTTCGATGTTCCAGGCTCAACCTGAAAACAGTAAAACCAAGCTGTCATGGCTCATAGTCCCTTCTCCTTAGTGGTAACCACCCAGGCCACTTCCCCTAAAAATGATAGTAGACATTATTGGGGGGGGGTGAAGCGACATTTCGGGAAGCAGCAATCTTTGTGCCTTCCAGCGCAGATACCGGCACAGACCTAAACGCTAAACCAAGCTTGGCACCCCCTAAGACCTTTTGTTTTACCCAGTGCTGTACGGAACCCGCCGACAATTCTGGCTTTGAAAGGATTACCTGATTACCATACAATTCCAAAAAAAACCGGGTAAACCGTGCATGCTCCTCACAGCAAGGCTCCTCTCACCACATGTCGCTTGTCGTCGCGGTACCATGTGCTTCCTCGATGTGGTCAGCATCAATCAGGCATTCTTGCTGGGCCGGAAGGGAACCCTACCTAAACTCCGAAAGTAGGTAACATGATGCCGAAAAAGCCTCTCAAATTGTCAAAACCGACCATTCTTCTACGTACATTTTTTCTCAGAATACCAGTATTACCAAAACGCGGGGGCCGCCTGCATATCAGAGGATGGTTAGTTGGGGGCGAGGGCCTTGGCTAAACCCCAAACCCCCAACCCTAAACCCCTAAGCCCCTGAACCCTAGCTTCCAAACCCCTAAACCCTAGCTCCTAAACCTCTAAACGCTAGTCCCTAAACCCCTAGACTCTAAAGCTGCGTAGCAAGGTCAATCCAGATCTGACAGAGCAGGGAGTATACGGAATCGGCGGCTTCTTGGAGAATTTCTTGGACAGTATCCTTCCCGTGTACTTTAACTGGGTTGCTGTTAGGCCACGTAAACTACGTCACCATATTAGGGTACATTTAAGTTCCTCAACAGCTAACCGGTTTACGTAAAGCTTCATGCAAGGTTATGGGTGGGAATAATGTGAGCGCAAAAGCTTAGGTCCCAGCACCCACATAATTTTACTTTCAATTTTCCAAGTGCCCCGAACGTACTGCCTCAAGCCTGTATGGGTGCGTTGAGCGGCTGCGGCGGTGAACATGGGATTGCCCCTCAACAGGTGACAGAGCTAACTGAAGAACTTCACGTTCTCGCCGTCCTCGTCCTCTTCCTCGTCCGTCGCCGTCGTCGTCATGGTCGTGGTGTTGTTTGCAATCGTTGTGGTGGTCGCTGTGCTTGTTGGGGTTGTTTTGGGGTTGTACTTCTTTTACAACGTAACCTCTGTAGTGTATGCAGTAGCAAGCCTTGTCTGACATCTGCCACATCCAGCCAGATGTCCTTTAAATAGGCTTGGCTGTGAGTGGGAAGTTTGCCAACTAACTTTCAAGCTTCACTACAGAATCCTACTGAATTGTCAGCATGACATGTTGCGGACCCCAGCTTTGCGGAAGCAACCCCCATCTCCTTGAAGACAGGACCAACTACCCCAAACTCCAAACGTTTAGGGGCTTCATGATCCTCGCTCAATCTCTATCGAAGCCTCGCGAAGCCCCAACTCTAAGTATTAATCCCAACTACTCTGGGATCGTCTTTCTCCTTCCACAATCTTCTTCCGGCTCCCTGCAGGTTGCTTCAGGGTTCAGCTTTGCCGGAAGCAAGGGCTTAGTGGCTAGGTGTTGGGGGGTGAGAGTCTTCATGAACACCTCAAACCCTAACCCCTTAACCCCTGAGCGGACAGAAGCACCTGTTGCGGTAGACGTCTCAGCTTCTGCTGGCGGTTGGACGTAAGCCAAACTGGTTACTTTAGTCATAATTGTGGTGTGGTATACTAAGTGCTAAAGCTAAATGCGAGTATTCTTCTGAGTAATGATCGTAGTCAATACTAATCGTAATCTGAGTATTACCAATAGAAGTGCTAGTAAGACGACTGGCACAGATATTATGATCAATAGTAGTACCAATATTGCTAATTACTTGTAGTAGTATAGTAATACCATGATTGTTCTCAATTTTTCCAGCCGCTCAGCGATTTCGGCTTCTTCAGCTTCCCTCCAGTTTGTGACATTTTCGAGCTCTTGAGTTCAAAGATCCAAGCTCTTAAGCTTCAAAGCATGAGGCTTTCTGAACATGAGCGTTCCTAGGGCCTCTTGGGCCTCAGAAACCTTGAGCTATTCTTCTCTAAGTCAAGAACGAGCATAGAAGCCTCAGAATGCTAGAATTACTCATGTTGCCCCGAAAGCTCGACATTCAATCCTGAAACCAACCTGAATAAACCCAACAACTTGAGAACAGGAGGACGGGGGCAACGGCTCAATGTCTGACATTAAAGATGGTCTGCATTAAGTAAGAAATTCTTAGTCCTAATTTTTGCTCCCTTGAACCTCCCAATACCCCCCTTAACTCGCACCTAGGCTTTCTGAGTGTTTCACGCGAGCTTCGAATCTTGTGGTCAGCACCATACATGTAGGGGACCCGGATGTCCCACAGTTTAGGGTTGGCGGTCTGGGTTGGACTTGGTGGCTTCAGCACTCGCCCAATGCTTTAAGTCATGAGCCCTTTGCATGCAGTCTTATTTGAGGGTTACAGATGGGCAACATACTAGGTATGTGCGGCCCCGAAGCTAACGGATCAACAAAGCTGTGTGAGGGCTCGGCCAGGCAGTGTAGGGCTTAAGACTGAGGACGTTCGTTCACTAGCAA